AATGGATTCAGTTATATTCCATTTAATCCTTTCACTTAGTACCAACTGAGCATTGTTTAAACGCCAAGGCCTACCTTAGTATTGTTGCTGACCATGTCCATCCCTTTATGACTATAGTGTACCCATCTCCTGATCGCTACTTCTGGCAAGATAGTACACCATGTCACAAAGCTCTAAGCATCTCAAACTGGTTCCTTGATGACAATGAATTCACTGTACTCCAATTGCCTCCACAGTTACCAGATCTCAATACAATAGAGTACCTTTAGGATGTGGTGGGACATGAAATTTGCATCATGGATGTGCAACTGACGACAGCAACTGCATGATGCTATCATGTCAATATGGACCAAAATTTCTGAGGAATGTTTCCAACTCCTATTTGAATCTATGCCATGAACAATTAAGGCAATTCTCAAGGCAAAATTGGGTCCAACCCAGTATAATAAAGTGGCCAGTGAGTGTATATGTATATACTGTATATATATATATATATATATATATATATATATATATATATATATAGAGAGAGAGAGAAGATAATGTGTTAATATACAAAGCCTTACTACGTCAATTGTCTGGTGAGAGACTATTACAACTTGTATATGGACTTATAAAGGACTGGGGAGAGTTTATTGAGTGCTGATCTTTGTACAAATAGTTTATCTGCCTAGGGAGGGTGGCAGTTTCATTTTTAACTGCTTGATATGCATAATATTTATACCTTTTTGTGTTGTTGAGTACCCTATAATGTGATATTTCAGTTTTTCCTTTTTCATACATTTGCCAAATTCTGTTTTCACTTTGTCATTATGGGGTACTGAGTGTTTTTTAACCTTTTTTCAGTCAAGGCACTTTTAAAATTATGGATAATCTCACGGCACCCTTTAAAATTTTACATAATCTCAAGGCACCCCATTCTAAAATGTAAAATACTATCCTACACACATCCAGTACACCCAACGTTACAGGTGATTTATTCTTCCAAAGCAAATACACCTTTGCACACTGGTACCAACTGGTATTCCAATGTGTCTTTCTCCCTCACTCTTCTCATGTGATTCCAGTGCATTACACAGAGGGGAAAACAAGGATGGAGTGCATGCACCCCATGTCCTCCTTATCAATGCAATTGGCTGTTAGTATGCTGGCAGCTAGAAGGTCATAGTGCACAATGAAAACCTTTTGCTTTGTGTATTAAAAGGCAAGACTGATCCACCTGCTGGCTTGTATACAATTTTTAGGCATTTTTCCAAGGCACCCCTGAAGAAGCCTGAAGGCACCCCAGGGTGCCTGGGCTCCCCAGTTGAAAAAGGCTGGTATAGAATAATGAGAAAGAAAAAAGAGTTTACCCGGTTCCCGCTCAGCCTATTGTACAATGATGCTCGGGTAAGACCGCTCTTGTTTTGGAAGGACGTCATGTGATGTTCTTCCATTCTTGCCACGCATCCCCCCGAGGATGTGCAGTGCATTGACTGACTGGCGGTGAGCTGTGTCCCTCAGACACAGTGCATCACCAATCAGGGTAAAGAGCCAATGATGTTGGCTCTTTACCATGTGATAAGCTATGTCCAATCACAGCTGATCACATGTAAACAAATGTTGGTTATCAGCATTTCCTTTCCTCAGCGATGTCACTGTCTGAAGAAAGGAAAGCCAATAACCGGCTTTCCTGTGACAGCAGATGTTTAGTGCCCTGATGATCAGTGCAGACCCATCAATGCAGGATATCAGTGGCCATCAGTGCAGTAGATCAGTACCCATCAGTGCCGCCTATCAGTGCCTCTTCACATGTGCCCATAAGTGAGAATCAGTGCAGCTTATCAGTGCCCATTAGCCATCAGTGCCAATCAGTAACGCTTCATCAGTACCTATCAGTGCAACCTCATTAGTGCAGCTATCATTACCCATCAGTGCAGCCTATCATTGCCCATCAGTGCAGCCTCATCAGCGCACATCAGTGAAGAAGAAAAAAAGAAAAATTACTTATTTGCAACAGAAACAACAAAAAAGTTTTTTTTTTCCAAAATGTTCGGTCTTTTTTTCGTTTGTTTAGCAAACAAATACAATTTCGCTCTCCACCTGCTCTGAGACATACAATATATAGCAGTTAAACTCAAAATCAGTTTACTGCAGTATATCAGGCAGAAATTGTGATTTTTTTGCTGGAGGTTACAACATATTATCTCTCACTGGCTGGTTTTACTGGTTACAGCACACATTACGGCTCACTGATTAGTTGGTAGAGGTTACAGCACATGATTTCTGCTTGCTGATTGGTTGTTAGAGGTGACATTTCTACACTCTTCACCAATGTTAGGGGGGACTTACACTGATGACCAATCTAAGAGGGGATTTACACTGACCACCAGTGTAAGGGCAATTCTGCACCTACCACCAACATAAAGGGAAATTTACACTGACCAATGTAATGGGCAATTTACACTGACAATCAATGTAATGGGAGATTTTACACCAAACAACCAATACATTTCTAATCTGGCCACTAATGTAAGGGGGAATTTACACCGACCACCAATTTAAAGGGGGCTTCTACATGAACAACCATTGTAAGGGAGGATTTGACACTTTCCACAAATGCAAGTTTTTATTTTTTATTGACTACCAGTATAAAGAGGAGTTTCTAAACTGGCCACCAATGTAAAGGGAATTTACACTGACCACTAACGTAATAGGAGCATTCACAGTGACCACCAATGTAAGCAGGGATTCACATTGACCACCAATGTAAGGGGGACATTCACACTGACCACTAGTGGGAATGAAAGTATTCTACTCCATGCCCCAATATAATGAAAAGATATACACTGACCACCATTGAAATTGACATTTAGCCTATGTCCACATTTGAGCATGTTGGGAACGCATGCAAAATTGCTTTCCTTACACCACAGAAACATGCTGCCTTTTAGCAGGTAGATAGCAGTGCTATTAATTGTTAATGACAACCTCATGCATCTGTAACCTGCACATTTTCACATGCACCAAAATTCACGATGCTGTGGCACTGTGTAGCCCAGTGTTATTTTGAAAGAGGGTCGGGATTTTTTTCTGCATTTATAGCACATAGAGCAGCCCATTGAAATGAATGGTCTGTCCTACATGTGGCTTACAACTTTATTCACCCTGCCAGAACACCTTTGCATCCTAAATTTCCCTGCTAACTTCTGCACCCCAAACCTTCCCCATCCTCTCCACTCCAACCTCTTTCCCCACCTTAACCTTAAATGCCTCCTCTGCTCATCATTTCACCCACCTTCTGTACCTCTCTACGTCCCCTACTTTCTCACCTGTGCACTCCAAACTATAATTCCTTTTCTGCCTACCTCCCTCCGCACAAACCCCCCACTTTGCCTACGTTTGCAGAACAGGCTGCTGGTAGGCTCAGTGACCACAGTTGCAGGCAGGACTTTCAAGCATGCCCCTGTTTACCTCTTCAGTGGGCAGTATTGAGGTAATAGTGGCTGGGACCTTCAGGGAGGGGGGCATTATATACACATGAATTCTGTTGCTATTTACATATGAATGGCGTATTGCGCCGCTATTTACATATGAATGTCACTGCTATTTGCATATGAATGCCGGTTATTTATCTATAAATGCTGACACAGTCTGCACACTTGAGTCATCTGTACATGGCAATAGAGCAGAGCTGGGCAGCATACAGTAAGTGACAGTACTTCACACTGAGATATCATGACACAGCCTGGGATGAAGACTTCAAGGGATAAAGGAATGTAAACCGGGACAGTTGGCAAATATGGGGCAGCTGTTTTGGGCCCCACAACAATGACTGGGCCCATAGCAGCTACCCCTTTTGCCCCTCCTTAAAGATGTCCCTGGATCTGACCACCTCCAGTATTAGAGTGCTTCCCTCTCTGGATGAAGGAGCACAGAGGGCACGTTTGGACAGTAGTATTGTCAGGGAAGGAGAGTTTTAGTTTTCTGTAATGTATTTTTGGCCTTTTTAATATATATTCATATATATATATATATATATATATATATATATATATATGTTTACACACAGTGCTCAGCATAATTGAGTACACCCCTTTTCAAAAAATAAGACTTTAATCAATATCTCAATGAACACAAGAATAATTTCCAAAATGTTGACAAAACTGAGTTTTATAGAACATTTGTTTAGCTCATTACATGAAAGTAAGGTTAATAATGTAACTTAGATTACAAAATATTCAGTTTTACTCAACTTAGTTGATGCAAAATTGAATATACCCCACAACAAAAACTACTACATCTAGTATTTTTTTATGACCTCCATGATTTGTAAGGACAGCACCAAGTCTTCTAGGCATGGAATGATTAAATTGGCAACATATTGCACCATCTATCTTTTTCCATACTTCAAGAGAAAACCGCTTTTAGAGCCGGGATGCTGAATTGAGATTGATGTTCAACGTGTCTCTTCAGAATTCCCCATAGGTGTTCAATGGGTTCAGTCAGGAGACATAATTGGCCACTGAATCACTTTCACCCTTTTCTTCTGCAGAAATGAAAACATTTGGCCTTTTCTGTGTTTTGGATTATTGTCATGTTGGAAAAGTGCATGACGACCAAGGTATGGAGTGATGGTAGCATCTTCTCTTTCAATTTAGCATCTTTCATGTTTCAACATCTGTGAATTCATGATGTCATCAATGAAATGCAGCTCCAGAACACCAAGCACAACTCAAAAATGCAGCCCAAAAAAAAAAAAAACAAAACCCAAAAAAAAAAAAACCAAAAAAAAAAAAAAAAAACAAAAAAGGAATTGCTGTTTAAAGTTGATATGTAGAATCTTTATTTATGGTGCATGTTTGATATACTGATTTTTAACATTAGTTTGTTTTGTTGTTGATTATGAATATAGCCAAATGTAAATATTTCATATTTTCCTTTCCAGTTTTAAACAGAGAGAAACTAAAGACGATAAACAGAATAAGTAAAAGAATTGCTCCAAAGTGTAATCTGTTAAAATGTGGCCTATCGTAACACAACTTTTATTGTACATTTTCTTCTGCTGGGCAGGTAAGACATTTTGTTTTACATACAAATATTATAAGTACATCAGTGTGGTTTATATGATCTTTAGCACCGTACATGTACATGTTGTACTCAGATGTTCATGTTGAAAGCTTGTCTATACCCATAACCCTTTTTTTAGTTTTAGATAGAACAGGGATGGGTTAAAACCGTTATCAACATGTGCTGTTAGGTAAATGTTAATAGGCAGATGCATGACACTAATCCATGTAATACAAACATATCCCAATGCTATTCAAAATAAAAACATCAATATTTTAGAAAAAGGGTGGACACATTTCAGTTAATGATTGGTTAGGTTAGACTGTGACATGCTAAAGTTTTCACTAGGTACATTTTCACTTAGATTTTTCAAATTCACATAATTAAATCTTGTCTTCTTTTGTAGAGGTGCTTGATAAAGTGAATCTATACATAAATGCTTAAAGTGATTGTAAAGGATCAAAGTTTATTTAAAAAAAAAATAACAAACATGTTATACTTACCTGTCCTGTGCAATGATTTTACACAGCTCAACTTCAATCCTTCTGTTCCTGGGTCCCTTCACCAGCGCTCCTTGCTCCCCCCCCCCCTGCCGAGGGCCCCCATAGCAAGCCACTTGCTATGGGGGCACTCCTGTGGGCTTGCTCCTGAGCTGTCTCTGTGTGTCCATAAGACACACAGAGCATGGCTTGGCTCCACCCCCTGCACCATCTTCACTAGCTATGATTGACTGGGACAGTGTGAAGGGAGAGAGCTGAGAAAGCTGAGAGAGAAGAGGCACATCACTGGATCAAGATTGTTCTCAAATATGTATAACCTTCAGCCTTTAGAACCACTTTAAATGTATCTATAGGGTACTTTATTAATGTATTTATTTACTTTTATTTAGATTTGTAGTGGCAAGAGCCACTGGCCAGGTTTCTACACTGACGGAAAAAACAACATTTTGAGTTGCCACCAGAGAAAAAGCAGCAGGGATATCTTTAAAAAGGAGACACATGTTCTCTACTTCATCCAAAATGGAATAAAAAGTTTGGGCTTTTGACACACTTTTAATTGTAGCTATGTTACCATTCTTGATGGGATGGATACATTTAGATTACTGGAATGCAAGAAATGCTTAACTTTCCCATAAATTTGTTACTCCATTCCATACTGATCACATGTTTAAAAGCTCAGGTTTTGGTCACATTATCTTGGTGAAGGATAGGATTAGCTGATTTGAATTCAGTTTCTCCCTTCAGAAGAAAAATCATTGTTCAAATGTTGCTGATGCTCCCATACCTGGGATAATTGATCCAGGGAATATCCAATTGCCTCTTGGGGGATCAGTGGGGGGGGGGGGGGGGGTTATTTTTTGTGCTATAAATAAAAAATACCAGAATTTTTGAGAAAAAAAAAACAATATTTTTTACTTTTTGCTATTAAACATATACATGTGTGTATATATATACTCACACTGCAATTTTTTTATTTTATTTTATTTTTTTTTTTACTAGTAATGGCGGCGGGCATTCTGACATTGGGGGAACTGACTTAATATCACTGACATCCCCAGTGACACCAATACAATGATCAGTGCTAATAAAAAGCACTGACACTGTACTAATAAAACTGGGCAGGAAGGGGTTAATATGTGGGGCGATCAAAGGGTTAACTGTGTGCTGTGTCACAGTGTGCAGTGTGAGTGCTTTATGCTGTAAGCACACTGCTTTGTATGGCTTTGCTATGCAGAGCCATACAAAGCAGTGTGCAGGAGCTGACAGGGGGAGAGATCTGCGTTGCTTATACACAGGTCTCTCCTCTGTCGGAGATACTCAGCATTCACCAGGTGCCGGCCAGAAATCACCGGCTGGGACCCGGTGATTGACAGCCGAGGCCATGAATGAAGGCTAGGGTAGGGTGCCCCCTACCCGGAACTGCAAAATCACGTGTATATATACATGATTTTGCGTACTCGTGCTGCCCTGTAGCAGTATTTCTGCTATAGGGCGGTATGGAAGCAGTTAAAGAAGAATTCCAGGTATGGAATTTTATACATCAGTCTTTATCAACATTTTTAACACAGAGGAAAAAACTTTCTGGTCTCAGGGAACCCTTGCTAAAAATGATAATATCTACAACTCATGATACGTTAGTGTAATGGTTAATGGGTCACTTTTTGTTGCTGGAAAAAAAATTACCCCCTTACAGATAGCTAAAAAGATCAGTGGTGTTAGTGGTAACTTACCTGAGAGGCAGACATTGCTCCTTGGTCAAGGAACGCCTGGCAACACCTGGAGGAACCCTAGGGTTTCATGGAATCCTGGTTGAGAAACTCTATTATACATAATTATGTTGATCCAGCTTGGACCAATGTAACCATGTATATACCATACCTGTGGTACCTCTAGAAGCTGAAAATCACTGTAGTAGACACGGCTACTCCAGTGATCTCCTCTAGCGTCCATGCCCCGTGCCAAGAGGCTGTCCTGTTGCATTCTGAACACAAGAGATTGGCTGCTTGGCACGTGTATCATTCAGAGAAAGCAAAGTATTTTCTCAATGAATGACAAGCATTCTCTGAATGGTGCCCATGCTGAGTGGCCGACCTCCTGTGGGATCCCATAGGTATGATATATGCATACAGTAGTAATATTGGTCTGTGGTGGACCAATGTACCTATGTATAAAATGCCATACCTGGGATTCTTCTTTAAAGCACCTCAGTTACCGATAGTCTGTAAATATATCATCATAGGGAACAATTTTCTATGTGTTGAATGTACTATAATTATTTAGAACAATGTTGAACACAGCTTGTACTCAAAGAACACAGGAACAGTTCCATGTATTTAGCAATGTTAGCTATAGAATAAAAATGTTTTAGATGGGGGGTAGGCAGGGAAAGTGGGCTTAAGGTTGCTATTTTTTGTGAGGTGCATACAGGCGAATTAACTAAATATAATACACGCAGATTTCCATAATAGGATTTGTTACACGTGACTGTATAAAATATTTAGTTTATGCTTTAATATCAGTACTTTACTAGGTGACCTGAAACAGGTATATGCGGCCTGTTACTGCAGTGTGCATGTGGCCATTTATTTAAATCCTTTAATGTGTCACATAACACATTGATGTCTGTGCCTGGAGTGAAAAGAGGACATTGCTTGTAAAGGTCAGCAGCAGTTAGAGGCAGTAGGAGTATGTGCATGACAGTGTGAGCTGCGACAGATGTTTCACTTCAGACAGAGAAAAATATTCCTACGCTGTTCTCTGTAACTAATGCTGCATAGGACTAGAAAGTTTATGATAAGAAAAATATATAGGATAAATCATTTTTATGTTGGATAGGTCTTTCATCTCATACAGCATTTTAAACTGGTAGCTGGGATGATGGTAAAAAATTCAAATATGCTTCTTAATTTGCATTAAAATAATCCAATCCGTTGTAACAGCTGCATATCATAAAAGCATAGTTGCCCACATTTTAAAATTAAAAATTGTTTCACTGGCCTCTCTTTCTACAGATTGTGTCTATATGCAAACATATAAAATGTATATACAGTATAGTGAATATACACACATACACATCATACACACATGTTTTCACACCTATGTGGGTTTTTTTTCTGGTGTTCCAGTTTCCGCCTAAAAAAATGTAATGGCATCCACCCAATTTAGCTTCAATGTGCTTGCTGTGTTTCTTTATTGACTGTGATAGGGCATTCGACTGCAAGGTCATTCTGACGTGTTACATGCGGCAGAATTTGTTGGCATTTATTTACAAGTACAGTAAACTGAATACATGTGAATGGAAGAGTGTTAGAACTATTTTTTCTTGCAGCTGAACTCTTACTTGGTTTTTCTTGTTGAGATAGGAACTTAGGATGTGTTGGACAAAAGGGACCTACCTCATGTTCCTTCATAGATGGATCTCTAAAGGACGTTAGTTAAAGTGAAAAAAAAAAAAACAGTTTTGGTCTTCATTTTTCTTTCTACTTAGTTTAGGTACAATTGCAGATTCTGCCTTAAATATTAGCTTGGCTCATACCGTCTGTCAGTGCTTTACGTTGATTGTGATATTATTAGTAATGCCTACATTTATTGATTTTTGTGGTAACTGTTTCTGTGGATTGAACTTTAGAGGATGGAAAAAGATATGGGCCAGTTTTTGAAGAGCAGCCAATTGACACCATTCATCCAGAAGAATCTCCTGATGGCAAACTTTCAATGAACTGCAGAGCCAGAGCAAATCCAACTCCAGTATATAAGTAATTATTATTTTCACTTACGTGACATTATTGAGTTTTGTTAATCAAATGTATGAAGTAGAAGGGTTTTCAGGACCTCATAGCAGCCATGCAGATTTTAGATGCAATTGTACATTGTAGGTTTAAAAAAAAAAAAAAAGAAGGACAGATATGATTGGGATACAGGAAATAACACTAAAAATATATTATTATTCAAAGGAAACCTGTGAATTTATATTATCTTCCAAGTTTTCTTGGTCCAATAGTGTGGCATATCTTCAGCTTATCTGCCAAAGTTTACTCCCTCAAAATTTACTTGGCTTATGTCATCTTACATAGCCCACTGTGTCCTCCCATTGGCCAGTAAAGCTTGTCATCACTTTTGATGGTCAATTTGAAGAAAACAGGAACTTTGGGCAATTTTAGAAGATGAAGTTAGGCCACAGTTTTACTTTACAATGTAATTGAGTGGAGTCAGATGGGGTTTAATGGGTATTTTGCGCCCCATCATGCACTACTATGGAAAGTATTTTGTAATTATCCATTTTGAGAATGCACCCTAGAGCAAGTGACACCAGTGTTATAGGTTTTGAGCATTTAAAGTAAATAAGGACCAATTATATTGAAGTTTCTCAATGAGGCGCAGTCTGTATTGCCTTTTGCAAGAGAACAAAATCAGACAATTTTTTTTTTTCTCCAGTGTGGGTGTCAAATTGACAAAATAATTTCCAGGTCATGGTATAGCCAGTAACAGTAAAATTCCGCTGGATATGTGTCCTGTTGAATTTGAATAACTACTACTAACAGCTTGCATATAATATTGACAAAGGAGGTACAATGATATTTAATACATTTGTAGTAGTAGAAACAAATTATGGAAATGGTCCAGATATTTTATTTATATACTTGTAGAGGAAAAAATATGAGTTTTCCTGTAATGTTACTGTAAAATGCATTTTGTCATAATTTTAAGGTAATATTATTAAACTTTAGGCTAATGCAGAAAAATATCCAGGGCTACAGTGATCTGTACTGCCTTCTTTAAAAGCTCAAAGCCTATAACCAAGGCAGATGTTTAAGCTAGCCTTTCTCAACCAGGGCGCCCAGGCACCCTGGGGTGCCTTGAGGTTTCTTCAGGGGTGCCCTGGCAAAATGTCTAAAAATTGCCCAAAACTTGTATACAAGTCAGCGGGTGGAACAAGCCTGCCTTTTAGTTAAACAAAGCCACAGGTTTTCATTATGCATCATTACGACTTTCTACCCACCGGCATCCTAACAACCAATGACATCATCAGTTGATAAAGAGGATGTCAGCTGCCTGCACAGCATCCTAGTTTTACCCTTCCCAGCCCCTCTCCATCAACGCTGGGGTCACATTAGCTCAGTGATTGAGAAAAACTGAGGGAGAAGAGAAACACTGGAATACTAGTCAGTACCAGTGTGCAAAAGTGTATTTGCTTTGGAAGAATAAATCACCTCTAGTGTTGGATGGCCTACATGTGTAGATGTTGCTGTGTTATATAAAACTATTAGAACAGTTTTTCCCATTTTAGAATGGGGCACCCTTTTAAAATTATGGACAGCCTTGAAGCACCCCATTTTAGAATGGGGTGCCTCAAGACTGTGCATAATTTTAAAGGGTGCCTCAGGACTGTCCATTATTTTAAAAGGTGCATTGACTGGAAAAAGGTTGAGAAACACTGGTCTAAGTTCACATAGACCTGGTCTATGTAGTACTACCTCACTACAGAGACATCATACAGTGTGAGTAGAAGAAGGCAAAAGGAAAGAAAAAAACAGTACCTGATAACCATAGCAAGTGTCTCTGTTTTTGATCTGCTCAAGACACCCTTTTTGGGAGTCTCAGACGGCCTTTCTGCTATAATAGTAGCAGTAGTTACTTCTCTATTTCCAAGCATTCTAAACTATTCCTACTTTACATGTCCTACTACTGTATGCCTGGAGAGAGATTCTCCTCATATGGAAACTTTGCACCCCATCCTCTTTAATTGAGTGGTACTCAGATATGTCCCATGTACCAATTGATGCATATGAGTAGAGGCTGCCCAGCCAAATATGAGAAAAAAAAACCTGGTCTGCATGGTTAGACTGGCTGATCCCTATCTCCTCAATGTGTGTTGCAAACTTATGTCCTGTGGTGGCATGTACTGAAACTTGGTCATTCTTTTTTATCTTTTGTCTATACGCTGTGATCTCTGTGAGGCCTATACACATTGTACATTTTGGTATATTGTACTCCTGTAAAGTACTTGAACCAGGGGCGAAGTAGGGGGCCCCATGAGATGCCCCTGGTACCTTTTTCATAGGCTTTTTTGAGTTTGGGCAAGGACACAGGGGCCCCATGATCCCCTATTGCCCGGGGGCCCCATGAGTTGTCAGTCCGCCCCTGACTTGAACTGTGGTAACAACACACCAACTTTTTAACATTGACTTTTTAACTATTTATTAAGTGTATTTATTGTTTAAAGTAGCTGTTACCCTTGCCTTTGAAAGTGTTCATCACCTTATGTTAGTATGGAATAAGATGAAAACATTTATGTTTCAGGTGGAGACTAAATAATTGGGACATTGATCTTCTAAATCCACGTTACAGTATGATTGGAGGTAATCTCGTGATTAACAATCCAGAAAAAAACAAGAGACACTGGAAAATATGTCTGTATAGTGACCAATGAATATGGAACAATCAGAAGCCATGAAGCCAGCCTCAACTTTGGATGTAAGCATACATTTAAGCATTTGAAAACAACGGGTAATACTAAGCAAACTGCCAGTAACACTTTATTTAGCCTAGTTTATTATCATACTATTTCAGTCTTTACATATCCTTGTTACTGTATCTCCTAAATTACATGGACAATGGTAACTAAACTGGTAATTTTTGACAGACTGTCCACTAGTCACTAATCTCTGTCTCTCCCATATCTTGTCTGCCTATCTGCTTTTATTTCTGTCTTTTTCTCTAAAGACGAGCAGAACAGTGTGGCACCATGAGAAATGACCATTTCAAACATTATCTTAAATATATATGTAATACTTTGCCAATCCATAAATCTACCAACCTTGATTTATTCACTCTGTTTGTTTTAACTTTTTCATTAAAAAAATGTGTGTCACCACATTCACTGTCCTGAGCTCTACCAGGCTTGTGATTTAATGATATGGGCTATTAATTCCATAGCAAACAAACTTGTGTGCCAGTTAGTAGCGGGCATGCATTTAAATGAAATAAGCAATGCTTGGCAGTAATGCTTGGTGGGAGAAGGGTCAGCACAGTATTTTTTAAAAAAATAGAAAAAATTAATTCTGATTCATAAACTGAAGCAACACTTTTAGATGCAAATCTGGTACAGAGCTTGTGGGTTGACGTTTTAAACATTATTTGTCTATCTGCTATTCTTTCTATCTAATAATAATGACAATAATGATAATAATACATTATTTTTGTAGTTGGTGTACCAGAAAATGTTTTTTTTTATGGTATTTTAAGCACCACATATTTGTGTTTATTGTATATTGAATTATTAGTGCACTCTGTGGGTGACTACAAGTAGTAGTGTACAACCACATAGTATGCATTGCAGTGTGCTTATTACACTTATTTTCCTATCCTGTGTAAGGTTTAAGGAACATAACAAAATAAGTACCGGTTTGAAATGATTGGCATTGCTCCCAGAAGCCAGTTACCATGACAATGCCACCTTGCTGATTTAGTAACATACACTACCCACCATAAGCGAGCACTATAAACACTGAATAGAAAATGCTACTATATATACAATATATTAAGTACCTGCTTAGTTTATGTTTAATTTGTGTGTCTTAATTTTTTTCATCTACATCTTAGTTGAGACCATTTTTTCAAATGCTCTCTGCTGGAATGCAAGTGAGGCTAGCAACATTTTTTAATTTAAAAATGTATCCCAACAGTCTGAGGAACATTTCACCGTATGGTTGCACACTGTACTTGATTTTTACCATGTCTACAGCAGGAGCTTTGCCCAGTGATTCAATGGGATTGTGGTTGTAAAATCAAAGTATGAACAAAATTCTTCTGTATATTATATATATACTGCGTAAAACTGCCTTAACCACTCGACAGCAATATCATGTTCTTCATATGTCTTCATGAACAACAGAAGAGCTTGCATGTGGGATAACAGTAAGCCCTATTTTTATATACAATGCTCAGCATAAATGAGTACACACCAACAGATTTGTCAGGAAACCTTTACTCTCCTTTCAGAATCAACATTTTCTATGGGGCACTATACTACAAAATACTCCTACAAATGCAGGCCCCATTGATTGCAAACAAGATGTGTTTATTTGCACATGCAAAAAAGTATTTTTCTTAACAAATTAATTCAAGACCATATTTCAGAAATGAATACACCCCAATGAAAGTCTTAGGAGCAAAGCTAAATTTTAGACAACAAAATCCTGATTAACAAGAATTCAACTACATGTGAGTCAAATTATTCATTAAACAGGTGTCCAGCAGACAGTTGATTAAAAAAGGGCATTACTTAACAAAGAAACTCCCTTCCCATTTCATGCTGTCAGTAATGGCACCACATGGAAGAGAAATGTCACAAGACTTGAGAAAGAAAATCAGTTCTTTACAGAAAGGTGAAGGCTACAAGAAGATCAGCAAAGCTTTACTTGTCAGTCAGAATACTGTAGCAAAAGTGATAAAAAAAGTAACCAAAAATGGAACTGCAGCCACTTCACAGAGACGTGCAGGCCATCCACGGAGTTTAACACCTCGACAAGAGTGTCTTCTGATGAGAAGGGTTGATGAAAATCGCCATGCAAGTTCACTGCAGTTAGCCAAATTGGGGTGATTGTTTCCCGTGACACAATATGGCATACACTGCAGGAATAGCATGCATAGGTGTCATCCACGAAGAAAGCCTTTCCTAAAGCCCATGCACAAAATGGTCTGCCTAGAATTTGCCAGGGCCCATGCTGAAAAAGAAGACTACTGGGACTCTGTACTCTGGAGTGATGAGATCAAGATACATGTGTTTAGAACTAATGGCTTCAAAACTGTATGATGTTGCAAAGGTGAAGAGTACAAAAAAAATGCATTGTGCATACAGTGAAACATGTTGGTGGCAGTGTCCTTCTGTGGGGCTGCATGAGTGCTGCTGGTGTCGAGGAGTAGCATTTCATTGATGGTATCATGAATTCACAGATGTACTGCTTTATATTGAAAGAGAAGATGCTACCATCACTCCGTGCCCTTGGTCGTCGTGAACTTTTCTAACATGACAATGATCCAAAACACACATCTAAGGCTGCTGTTGCATTTCTGAAGAATAACAGGGTGGAAGTGATTCAGTGGCCAAGTATGTCTCCTGATCTGAACCCAATCAAACACCTATGGGGAATTCTGAAGAGACAAGGTAAGCATCACTCTCCGTCCTCTCCAGACTCTAAAAGAGGTCGTTCTTGAAGAATGGAAAAAGATAGATGTTGCAATATGTTGCCAACTTGTTCATTCCATGCCTAGAAGACTTAGTGCTGTCCTTACAAATCATGGAGGTCATACAAAATACTAGATGTAGTAGTTTTTGTTGTGGGGTTTATTCATTTTTGCATCAACTAATTTGAGTAAAACTAAAGATTTTGTAATCTAAGTTGTATCATTAACCTCACTTTCATGTAACGAGGTAAACAAATGCTCTATAAAACTCAGTTTTGTAAAAATTTTGGAAACTGTTCTTGTGTTCATTGAGATATTGATTAAAATCTTACTTTTCAAAAGGGTGTACACACTTATGCTGAGCACTGTACATGGCAACATCCATACATTTCATTACATATAAAATTTCATTGTTTTCCATTGGTACACTGTATTTGTGCTTCACTGCTCCATCCCATAAAGCTGGCCTATAAGACAGCCCACTCATTGATAACAAAATGCTTCCTGTGTGGTGGATATCTTTTCTTTACAGTTGGCAATAGAGAGATAGTGATTGTACTAAACCAATGAGAGTTTCCTTTATTGGTGATTCTACAAATTAAATGTATTACAAAATCATGGAAGAGCTAATTTGGAAAAAGCAAAAAAAAAAAAGCAAAAAAAGCATACCTAAGATAAACACTGCTACAATATCTCAAAATATACACAGACTAAAAATACTGTATCTTCTCTTAAATGGAAAGATAAAAAAGGATTTTTATTCAGTGGAATTATACCTGGTTTTTTGACTGCCATCTAGCAGTTGTTGCTAAGTTCAGGTTAGATGTGGGAATGTTTGTATAAGACATGCAAGTATGCTACAAAAATTCGTTTTTTGAAATGGTGATACAGGAATGTTGAAAATTGAAATTGTTTAGCCCAAGTCTATGGTCTAGTACAAAGAGGCATGATGGATACATGCATTAGTGCCTCTGTCAGACCCTTTCTTAGGAGAAACTCGAAGCTCTACAGCATGATCTCTTACAGACACTGTGATCCATAGATTTAAGAAATGCCAAGCCAACACTTTGCTGAATACCTGTTTATTGGCCCATTTTACTCCGTGTACTTTATTTGTCCTAGGGGTCAAGTGGTCATCATGAATATAGGGCAGACAGCTTGATTCTTATGCATGGGGCTTAAATCTCCTTTCCAAGTTATTAGTCTGTTATTGTTGATCTGAACATCAAACAACCCTGTAAATTTAAACTATATAAAGTATATGTATATTTTGTAGCAAATTGAGTTAACTCCGCTTTATATGCTGTACACCACTTTAATTTACAATTACTGCCTAAAGCCTTCATATTGAGCTGTTACCCGTTTGAGTTATTTTACTTACTGTGTATTAATTTGAGTAATTAGCATGAATTTCCTTGTATTCATTTAATGACATGCCTTCATGGATTTATTATAATGTAGACAATTTTTTATTTTCAACCATATTCATGTTTATTCATATACAGTACATGTTCTCCATGGTGTCTGCACAGAAAAGCATAGTTAAGGCTTAATAAATCATTTATAACTGTTTATATTTATGAATTCATATTTTATTAAAGCTGTTATTATTGCTTTAATGAAAGTATAATTAAAAAAAACTATATCAGACTTTTTTGATCTCATAGTCTATCTACAAGAATTTATTTTCACTATGGCTACTTTCACACTGAGGAGTTTTTGAAGCGTTTTCACATTAAAAACAGCGCCTGAAAAGCTCAAGAAAAATGCTTCTCTATGCATGTGAATGTATATTTATGTATATCTATTGCCACTGTGGTGTTGTGCGTGCGAGCGGTGCAGTGTAAAAATTCCTGCTTGCAGCATCTTTGGAGCATGTTTGGTGAGTTAAAAGAAATGCCCAGAAACACCTCTTCCCATTGAAATCAATGGAGAACACTTTAAAAACGCATGAAAAGTGCCCCAAAAACACCTCTGGGAAGTGTTTTTGAAGCAATTTTTAAGTCACATGTCCTTTAAAAATGCTTAGAAAACATGGCAAAAGCGAGGTAAAAATGTCTATGTGTTTTTGCTGTGTTTTTGCAGCGGATCAGCATGAAAATAGCCTTAGTTACACCTTAGAGCAAGCATACTAAGGTGCAGGTAAAGGTCAGCTGTACAAGACCACTTGACCTTGACTTTAAAGGATATTTATTCTACGGAATCCCACAATTGTTTTTTAACATTTCAGTGTTCTTAGCCTACAATAGATACCATGTACCAAATACAGTGACATTTTTAACATATCAAACTAGCGCACCTATTATATAAAGTGAACAACAAGCTGTGCTAAAAATAATCACCACTCTGTTCTCTTTAATAATAGACCCCACAGTGCATATGGAACAAAAAACTAAATTTTACAAAGATATATATTTTTTGTGCATAAAAAAAAATCTAAATCCACAGTACATAAAGAAACAAAGAATTAACAAATGTCTTTTTGGTTCATAAGCGACAGTGCCAAAGCACCAAATATGTTTCCAATGTCTATAAATAAGTAGGAGTCCAACTTGCATCAATCAAAAAAAAATCTATAAGTGTCCTCTTGGAAATTATCCTTCTCCAAGTAAGATCCACTTCAATGAATGTGCAATCCCACACCCTGTGCTCACACAGAAAATTCACCAAGGGCATGACATTTCCAATCTGAATGTGTCTAATGCTCTTTCTCATAACTTTCCTTTTGCTGCAGTCTATCCGTATGGACTTCTGCTGATGCTAAAAAATAAGTCTCAAATGGTGTGATAATATCTTGTATTTAAAGAATAATTCCAGGCATTGGTATGTTATACATAGTTACATATGCATACTATACCTGGCCGATGCCCATGGAAGCTGGAAATCACTGCTACTTGAGTGATCTCGATTTGCTTCCGGGTCCCATGCTGAGCAGCCAACCTGATGCATTGTAAACACAGGAGGTCAGCCGCTTGGCGGTGGCACAGGGGTGTTTTTTTACCCTTGCAGGTATGAACAGTCCAGCTCTTCCTTCTCCACTCGCAGGGAATCTCAATGCATGCATCCTTTGAGATAAAATGTTTTGCTACTTATTTTTTATGGTCACCATTGCAGATACTGCGGCTTTACAATTGATATACAGGTATAATAACACAAACCCCATTCAATTATTTGTCGAAGTGCAGAGAAGTTTAAGATAATTGACATACATATCCATATCGGTGCAGACCATGACCATGACTAAGACATTAGAAAGAGAATTGCTTTGCCTTGCAAATATCTGCTTTTCCGCTCACATCCACAATGTCTTGATAGGTGTGTCAAAACCTCTCTACAATGCACAAAGGACCAAAAAATTCAGCACACAAGTTGGCTCATATAACAAACTAAAAGACCAAAATTCCCTTAGAAGTTTATCAGAATCCTGTTTTTTATCATACATTTGTAAGTACAATCAAGTTTGGTTGCCACAAGTATTTTTGGACAGATGTGGAAATAGATGGAAGGTTAAGGTTTTTTTTTTTTTCTTCAGTAAATAGAAAACAGAATAGATAGCATGACTGTCCTTTTTATTGATATTTGTGTTCTAGTAAAAATAATTGAAGGTGAAGCTTCCCAGTGGGGACACAGACAGCATTAAAAGTCAACGAAAGCTTTTCACTGTTTTATGAAAAAAGGGATTTTATTGCTGTCTGTGTCCCAATAATGTGAGAAGAAGCATTCCCAGTGGGAACACAGAAAACTGACATGCAAGCATTAAAAAATACAGTCTACCAGTTGTTAAATTATTTATTGCCTTGTGTAAGTGGAGAAAATGTCATCATTAATTATTATGTAATTTTTGAATATAGATCTTGATCCTTTCCCTCCTGAGGAGCGCCCAGAAGTAAAAGTGAAGGAAGGCACAGGAGTGACGCTGATTTGTGACCCTCCTCCACACTTCCCAGGTGATAACCTTCACAGTGATAATTTACATTGTTTTTTTTCTTTCTTACCTGTCATTTGTGGAAATTTACTAAAATTGAGTACTATATATGGTCTGACTGTAGTGCAGGCTGCAGGAGCTCTAGTCAAACAACACAGCCCTAATAATAATAAGACTCAGCAGCAAGGTATTGCATTTTTTCTTTAGGAACTTACAAATCTCCTTAACATACAGCATAGATATGAAGCCCTTTTTACTATTAAGCTTTTCATCTGGTGAGGAAACTTTTAGAGTGTTGACCCTAGGTAGCACACTGATCATCTACGATAATAGTATGTGATAGGGTATGCCCTAATCATCCAGTTTGGGCTTTATTACATATGTTGCTGTGAAAGGGAGAGTTATAATACTGAAAACAATATATATATATACTGTGTGTGTGTGTATATATATATATATATATATATATATATATATAATAAAAAAAATTTAGAGCACAAGAAAAGATTGCTCATTTATGTTCCAGCACTCACTGTTTAATCAATCAGTCAATGACAATGCTTAATTTCTAAGCACTAAAACAGGATTCAATATTTGTTCCACATTTGGTCCTGAAAGCTTATGAGCCATTCATTTATTATGGCAAGCTAGAGAATGTGCATCATATGTTGTGAAAGTAGTAGTAGTAGTTAGTCAACAAGCTCTGAGGTAGGAGGTACGCCTCCGAAACGCTCCAACTTGGTAGTCTAATGGGGTGTATGGTTGAACATGACTTCTTATGCTGTGGTATCTTGTGATCTATATGTGATTATATTCTTCACTTCCCATTTGGCATTGATGCTGTATGAATAATAAATAGTTGGTAATGCAGTAGGCCTTTGTGCTCTCCTGTTTGTTCGTTTTGTAGTTCGTCAACAAGACCTATTCTGTAATGTTGAAGACATTTCATAGTTTCCCCAAGCCACTGCTTCAGTGTCAGGAAGAACACCAGTTGCAATCACTGTGGAATGAATAGTTGTTGATCGTCCAAGAACAAGAGTTGTGAAAGTTGTGAAACAACCCTGTTCTAGTTACGTAATCCCAACGTTATCAGTCAGGTTGGCATATGTTTAATTCCTTTATTTACATGGCTAAAGGTGTTGTCAAATTGGCATGGTAGCGAAGTTAAAATGACATGCCATGTTCATTCGTGCCATACGTCCTAAACTTATGGTGTTCAGACAAATGTTCGAACTGAAGATCAAAGAAGAGCCTAAAATGAATGTTTGAATCAAACACTCAGCTCATCCATACCTGCCCCCACATAGGTGACAGTACATTTTTCCAACCTAACAATAAATATAAGCTTCTTCTGTTTGTGTTTAACACCAAAAAAAGAAAATTAAACATAAAACAAATTTCTTAAGATTGTGTGCTGCCTTCAATAGACTTGCCCCTGGTCTTTAGGCATTTTAGTTTTAGGCATTTTAGTTTTAGTTAAATCAAAATCCTAATTTCCCTTAAAAGCACAGATTTATAAAATGTATGCAAAGTATTTATAAAAGGCCTGAGATCTGATGTTGTATTACGTGCAAATATTTCTCTTGTACTGATGTTAGCAGAATCACAGAGAAAGGAGAATCTCCTTTACTTCAGAGAATATGAAGTCTCTTCTCTGAGACTCTTTGAAGACGGCACACCATTCTTAGAGGTTGGCAGTCAGAAAGGTTGTGCAGAGTTTCAGTGAGTAGAGTCGCAACATAAAAGTAAGGTGAATCCTTCATATCCTTTATATGAGGAATACCTAATTCAGATTCTCTCCTGACTGATGCTACAGTATGAATACTCACCTAGTATTGTATCCATGAATAGTTAGAATATTATTTATAGTATAATTTTATATTGCATGTGAACTTTTATTATTTTTATTTAATATTTTCTTTAATGATTGTGGTTGAATTTAAGACAGTACTTTAAAATTTCAGTAAGATTTTGAGATACAAAGCTCGCCTCCCAGAAAAACACACAAGGAATAACAGCAAAGTACACTAGGCCTGCGGTTAGGTACCCCCCATTGCTGGATAACTGGAAGTATGTGGCTCCAAGCCATGCCAATACCAGCCCCTTTATACCCTGCAGCACTTCTGGAGCATTTGAGATATATCTTCAAAATCTAGAGTACTTTTTCCAAATTACCACTGGCAGATGCTGACCAATACTGGACCTTTGGTTCTACCATGAGGTAAAGTATGTTCAACCTGTCTGGTTGTAATACCATCCATTCTGAACTAGTAAAGGGGTCTTTGGACCCCTTACCTAATTACCTATTATATTCTGAAAATCAAAGAAGAGCTTAATACGAAACAGAAAAAAAGATTATGGGATTTTATTCTAACTTAGATTCAATTAAATGTAAAATGATGGTGCAGAGGCTGTTTGACCTTCTTTCACCACAGATGAACAGTTAAGGGTTTCTTTAGACCTTTTAATAGTTCTTTCAGAAGAGGACCTCAGCCTACTTGATGCTAGACATGTGTGACTCATTTAGTTAGACAATTTTCTTTATTCAGAGATTTGCCTGTATCTGAATTTCTGAATCACAATAGTAACAAATTTAAAAAAAACAAATAAATTATAGCAAACCAAATGATCAGAATTGGAAAATGAACTCAAAATTGAAATGCAAACAGAGTGCATAAAATACAGTAAGGTATCAACATGAAATTAGAAAATCCTACTTAGGCTGCTGAATAGAATAGAATAAAATAGAACGATAGAATGGAATAGAATAATATAGAAAATAAGGGAATAGAAAAGAATACAAAGAAGATAGAATAGAATAAATATATCCATCTTCCACAATTTGAATTTCGGAAGATGGCTTTATTCGTTCTATTTTAGTCTATTCTATTGTATTCTACTCTATTCTATTATTTTCTATTCTATTTTTTATTTTCTATTCTACTTTTCTATTTTTTATTTTCTATTCTATCCTTTTATTTTCTATTTTAGTATTTTCTATTCTATTCTATTGTTTTATTTTCTGTTCTTTTCTATAAAGCAGCTTAAGTAATAATCATTATCTTAGTTCACCTTTATACTTTACTGTATTTTTTGCAATATGTTTTCATTTTGAACTCAAATTCATTTTCTAATTCAAATTCATGCTCACATTCAAATTTGGATAATTTTGAATTGATTTTTGAAAATAACAAACATTTACAAAGCGAATTTCGAAAACAAAGCATTATTACATAATGAATATGACTAAAAAAAATTATTAACTTAACGGGCAAATCCAAAACTAAACACATTTTTAATTCTTGCACATCTCTGCTTGATGCCCCTCTAAAGAGGGTGCCAGATTTGTTGGACGTAATCCCACCATCCTATGCCACAAAAAAACGTGGGCATGAGATGCACCAAAGAGCACAGTGACCTCTAATATGAGACACTTTGCAATGTGTGCCTCTATTTCGGGACCAATTAAAAATAACACACCTCACTGGTGAAAAGCATTTTAGCTGGTATCAGCATGGCCATACAATAACCTTTTGTATTTTTATATAATAAACAAAAATGTAGCCCTCCCAGAGCTTGAGTTTTTACTACAACAATCAGTACTTTACACTGCTTATAACATTGATTGCTTACTATACACTTCCCACAGCATTAAATGAATGGTAAGCTAGCATGTGTTATCACTTATCCCTTTTAAAAGGATACAAAATACATATTTTTGCATAGAATGCTGTGTGTATCAAATTTTAAATCATCAAGGCAAACAGCTGTTTTACCGTATAAAACATTCCTGGACCTCCCCATGTCAGCCTACCACAGGTTAGCTCTGACCCCTCCAGGACAACCTCTTTCATAGCCCATAGGAGTGGCTATCTCCCCTCACTCAGCGTTCTTTTTTCGTCCTCGCTCTGGACACCTTGAAGAAAAAAATAAAAATCTCTCCTATGGCCTTTCCAGGTTCAGCCTCTCCTGGGTAAGAAGACCCCTTGTCTGGGCTGTAAACCTCCCTGTGTAGTGGGTTCCCTTGGTGTGGGGATTATTATGCATGCTTTAAAAATTTCTGCTCATTGATTATGCCACCCTACAGTGGTTATTTCTGTGGGGCAGTATAAAGTACTGCTGGGAAGGCAGGGTACCTTACCTGTGCATAGTTTGGCTGGCTTGTAGTCACATATCTTAGTAGGTCTGTGGGCTGGCTGGCACTCACAGTCCATATCTCAGCATGTCTATGGGCTGGCTGGAACCCACCTAGTGGGTTCCCTTGGTGCGTGGATTGTTATGCATGCTTTAAAATTTCTGCTTATTGATTATGCCACCCTACAGTGGTTATTTCTGTGGGGCAGTATAAAGAACTGCTGGGAAGGCAGGGTGCCTTACCTGTGCATAGTTTGGCTGGCTTGTAGTCACATATCTTAGTAGGTCTGTGGGCTGGCTGGCACTTGTAGTCCATATCCCAGCATATCTATGGGCTGGCTTGCACTTGTAGTCCATATCTCAGCATGTCTATGGGTTGGCTGGCACTTGTAGTCCATATCTCAGCATGGTCTGTGGGCTGGCTGGCACTTGTAGTCTGGCAGGTCTGTGGGCTGGCTGGCATCTGGGGCTGGTAATGCCCACATTCATGGTGGCAGTGTTTGTTGCGGCTACAGAGCAGGCTAGGTGGTACACATGCAAGGGTGACCAGCGCTGAACTTCCCGGGTTGCCATGGAGTGGGCCGGGACGCTGCGTTATCTAGAGGCTGGTTTTCTCTCTCTTATGTTGCAGCTCTGTGTCTCTATGAGCTCCACCTGTTTACCTAATCACTAGCTGATCAAGCCTGGGTCCTTCTGCTGCTCTGCTCCCTGTAGGTAGCCTCAGCTGTTTGCCTGTTTGCCTTGTATGCATGCACATGTATTATGACTCTGAGATGTGGGTTAGGTGATATGCCCCCTTAGGCTGTTGCTAAACGCTGCAGCTTCAAGCACTGAAGAGCTAATGGATAGTTTTTTTTTTCTTTTTATTTGTTATTTTTTATTTTATTT